CATCTTTTGGGCAAACTTCTTTCTCAGGCGCTTTATCTTCAGCTCTGCGAAATTCCTTCGCTTTTTCTTAAGGGTTTCTGGCACAGCAGGAACCTTCTTCTTCTTCTCTCTAACGTTAACAAGCAAAAACCTTATCAATAGCTCAAAAAGCTCACAGTCCTGTATTACTCCCGTACTGAGTAGTGTTGTTTAACAGAAATGCTGTCACTGACTTTAGTCACTCGTATAACTTTACTTGCTCTGGCATGCTACAGTGTAGGATGCACATTTTAGCTCCATGTCAATAACCTTTAACACCAACCACGTTGCCTAAAACCCAATCACAAATATGACACAATAGCAATATGCTTTTACCTATTTCAACCAAGAGGTCCGGCCTCCGACGACTAAATTAAACAAAACAAAAAACACACCAACAGCCGAATAACAAAATGTTCCTCCCCATAATGTTCCCAGGACGAGCCTCACGGGGACGAACTACAAATCCCAGCTTAAAGACTGCTGCAAGGCACTGATCCCCGGACTTTAAGCGCAAAAATAAAAATAAAAATAAAAGGCAAGCCACCACCACCCTGGTTCAATCAGGATCCACATGTTGAAAGCAAAGGCCTAGCGGCAGGGAGGCCTGAGCCAAGCACCAGCCAAGGACTAACCCAATTCTGAGGTTCTGCGCCTACCCCTAAAGACCCTCTACCGAGGACTGGGCCGTCAGCCAACCAACGGGTTCCACACACATTCCAACTCGACATCTCGTTCCCGAGATCTCCAAAACCTCTGTCCTATAGCCGCCTGCATCCCCATCCTAGCCTCGGGTCCCCACTGGTGTCACAAAGCGTCACAAACAAGCAGGAAGGTGGGCAAAGGTGCAAGCTACAGCCAGAGAGAGAAAAAGTGACTCAAAAAGTATCTGGCTCTGCAGATGGAGAAGGATTCTCGAGAGAACGTCAAACTTACTCCGCACCCTCCATGGTTCCAGCCGGAAAAAGAGGAAGTTGGTGCATGCGCACTGTCGACTTAAAGACTTCGAAAGAGAAGCCCCACGACTCATAGGTGTCTTAGAATAAGCCGGAAAAGAATCCAGAACTAAAAAGCCTCCTTGCAGACGCAAAATTAACAACTCCCTGATTTAGCCTCTTTCAACCAACTTTCGGGTAAAACTTGTTTGAAGAAAATATATGCATTTGACTACACTTTTTAATCAATTCAAGAGCAAAGGATGCTGACACCTCGGCAACTCCGGGTCCTAATCTCCAGGCTGCGCTGACAAGATTAGGCTCGGGTTCCTCCCCATAATGTTCCCAGGACGAGCCTCATGGGGACGAACTACAAATCCCAGCATGCACCACTCCTCGCCCGCCCGGCGGGAGGGCAACGCCTGACCCGGACCGCAGGCAAGCACCGCGGCGGCGGTTCCAGCCAGGAAAATGCGAGCCTTTTGGGCCACGTTCCAAACGGCTAGCTGCAATTCGAAGTCACTTTTGGCCGCCCTCCCAGCTCCCTGCCGCGGTAGTAGCAGACTACACCCCTTTCGCCGCGCCGCGAGGTCCTTGTCGTCTCGCCAGCCCACAGGGCTGTCTTCCGCAGCGCCTGATCGCAGGCGGGGCGGTCCGGAGTGTCCTGGTTAACGAAAAGTGGCGAGCCAGGGAGCAGCGGGGACTGGACGGCCGGAGGAAGATGGCCGGGGCTCTGCTGACTGCCGAGATCGGCAGGCGGAGGCCGGGACACCCCACGGGAGGGGGCGTGAGCTGCGAAGGGAGGTGCGAGGAGGGCTGAGGTTGCGGCCACCGCCGTGTGAGAGGGGCTACCCCGCTCGACTCTGCGGACGCTGGCGGGCGGGGGGCT